TATTTGCTGACCCAACGTTCTGGGGAAGCCAATGCCCGGAGTCATGATCGCGACGGAAATGTCAGATTCCGGCCGCGGCTGTCATCTGACACCGCATACGAGGCGCTAACGATGCACTTTTGCGAGAGCGGCGGCGGCTCTGCGTCAGCGGCGGCTACTTTGGGGAAGTCACACCATCTCTGGTGTAACTTAACTCTGCTGCTCGCTTCATGGTCCTTCGTTTAGCTTCGAAGGAGTTAGGACGTATATAGTTACTGTGTGCGCTCCCGGCCCGGAAGAAAATTTTTCCTGTAATCTTAATTTATTTGAGTGCAGAAGAATTCCAAATGTGTGTGTTTTTTTTCTTTATTTCAGTTTTTATTTTAAAGTTTAAAGCCATCTATTCTCTACCAGAGCGAATGGGGCGGGCAATTGCACACGTTCTCGCGCATTTCACGTTGCCACCCTCTTATGCACTTGACCTAGTCCGTTGGCTATCTAGACTACACAATAAACAAAGATCGACGCTACCGGTAGTACTAAATGAAAAAACTCGATCAAGCCTGTTAGATCAAGGGATATTTCACCCCTAAAGACGTAAAAAAAATAATTGGATGCCTTAAAGTCTATAATAAAGCTTTGTTTACTAGACGCCCTTCTCTTAAACCAAACAAAATTCATACCTACATCAAGAAAGTTAGTAACCGTTCAATGCATAACAATGAAAATACATATTAACACTTTATTTATAATAATATTATTTGGTCGGAACTTTATAATTATAAGATAAGCTTTTAATTCCCTTATCGAAGAAACAACTAAGTTAAACGTAAGTAAGTTAAACGAAATTTGTTACAAAAATTTAAACCAAAACTGTAGCACATGAAAGATGAAAGTAAATGTAGCAGTTAGCATCTCGTTAAGAAGGCTTCCGTGCCATTAAGGCATCAGTTAAGTTAACAAGGGAAGATTATTAATTTAACTTTCCAATTAACCTTCATTTCCTGAATGTAAAAATATTCAATACTTAAAAAAATACATTTAAATGCCCATACTGTAACTCCGGTATATATGTGCATACAAATATGTATATAAATTCGCGTTTAATCTTGCGTTAGCGGAAGTATGACTAACAGCTAAATCGCGTTAAAAAGCAATGATAGATATGACAGGTATGACCGGACGGAAGGACACGTTTATTACACCAGGCATAAGTACTCTGGTCAATATTAAAATTGAATTTAAAAAAAAAATTGCCGCCTCGTCTATTTAACAGCCACCTCAATAATAGAGACTTAATGAAAAAAAAAAACGAATACAAATAGCATCACAGAAAACCAGACAATCAAAATCGCCACGCTCTTAATAGAATTCAAAGTCACGCATGATTGTGTGTGTGTACATGCATACACAAATTCTTCCGATTTGCCCCAGCTGCTGTAAGTACGAGGCCAGCCAAAATACATTTTCCTTAATAACTTTTGTGTTGTCAACCGATCTTAATGAGTTACAGAATAGTTGTGTATTTTTAAAAATTTGCAATTAAATTGTGGTTTATATTGGTTGACAGCATAAATTGAATTTTTATTCTGTTAACAACAATGCAATTGCACTTGTATTGTTTTATGTGCTGTGTGTACGTGCTGACATTTTCATAGTTTTTTTTTAGGATCGTGTAGCTACATGTTTCAATATGTTTAATGTTTACTTATGCTAATTGACAATGTAAAGAATAAAGCGCTATTTAATTGCTTAGAAACTGGGTTATTGATTATCGGAAATAAATTCGTATTGTGCGGGCAATCAGAAGACGTACATTCAAAATTTCTCAACCTCATATATTCTGAATCGACGCGTTCATACATACGGACAGGCAGACGGACATGGGTAGATTAACTCTACAAGTGATGGTGATGGTTCCTTTTGCATATTTCATACATTTTCACAAATACTTAATATACTTTTCAGCCATTTTTAATGGGTTTTGGGTATATAAATCTCGGAATAACAGAAAAGAGCATTAAAAACAATGTAAATCAAAGAATACAGAACGTTAGCCGCTTTTTTTTAGAAAAATTGTGGAGAAAAAGAATGTGTAGAGATTTTTTACTCTTGCAAATCGGTGTAATATTTGCGTTTTTTTTTTTTTTGGTTTTGTTTTTTTTTTTTGCTGAAATTACATTTTGATGTTACTGCTTCTTTAAAAATATCACTATAAATAATAAAAATCAAGTGAAATATAAAAGCTAGGTGCAAACATTTTTAGTTTTCGAATTGTATAAGTATCTTATAGCCTCTGTCCACTAGTTTAAGAAATTTCACATTTTCAAATTTCACATATTGGTGTTCCATCGGTTGTCGGTAACATATGAGGGACAAAAGTACCGCTTCTTATAAAAAACAGCTGATCGAGTTTCTTTAATTTACATAAGCGCCGTAAAGTTTTTCTTCCAAAACTCAAAAAGTGCGCTCTCGAATAAGGGCTCCATTTTAGATACTCTTTTCGACATTTCGCCATGTTTAAATTCTAACAAGAGGTTCTAGTCGGGAGCTCCCGACTTGGGAATACCCTGAACCCAACATCAAATGCATATATATATTCTATTTTAGAAGCTATATGTCAAGTTTGGGGACTCTAGCTCTTGTTGTTTAATATTATATTAATTATTATTGATATTTATTTTTAATATTTAAATTGCCCAATAAACAGGATATCGATATCGACTTTTATCCATTGCTTGGAAACGGAGAAAGTTATCGATTATCGGGAACAAACTCGATCTGCGCGCGTACTAGGAGCACCTACATCTAAAATTTCTAGCTCTTATAGGTTCTGAGATCCTTGCGTTCAGACGGACAGACAGACAGACATGGCTAGATCGACTCGGCTATTGGTGCTGATCAAGAATATATATACTTTATGAGTTCGGCGATGCTTCCTTCTGCCTGTTACATGCATTTGGATTTTGGGCAAATACAATATACCCTTATACCCATTAAAAATGGGTTCAGGGTATAAAAACTGTGGGATTATTTTAATATTAAATTTCTTATTTAAAGTTGCCGCTTGCCTTCGTTGATATATCAGCAGTTTATGGTTATGATACTTTACCATTTTTCACAACATCGATAGAAATGTCGATTAATCATCGCAAAATAGACGAAATGTTCGGGGCGAATTTACACAGTTTCCAAAAATGTTACATTTAAAAAAAATGTGTGAAATGTGTCTTTATGGGGAAACGTACAGGCCGTATTTTACACATTTTGCTAAAATCTGACATTTTCAGAAATGTGTTCAGTGGACAGAGGCCATTACTATTCAATGTGTAAGCCAATTATTGAGATATTGTGTGTCTGTCTTATAAGATAGAAAATATTCAAAAATACAAGTATTCTTGTTTATGGAAAATATGTTATGATAATTTTAGCTTACTGAACTCGTTGTTAACCGCCTGTGACATAGCTTCGCTAAGCAAGTTGTAGGAACTTCTCTGTTGCTGTTGGTCAATATGTTGAACATTTTCACCACTGCCGATATAAGGTTGCGTCGACGCTAGAAATGAAGGTATCGAAGGTGCCGCAGTTGTTCCCACTGACGACTTGGATGCTGTTTTTATATGTATGCTGAGTGGTATATCATTTGCTGGTTGATGTTGATGTGTGTTGTAATGATTTGAAGATATTTCGCTATCTATGGTACCTCCGGTAACACTACCTGCAAGGCATGTGGTTTTGCAAATGTAGTAGAATATAACAGGAAGTAAGTGGTTCCAGGTAGATTTATCGACCATATTAATTGCGTGTGTGGAGTCTCAAGTATGCAATAACGTACAACTTCGAGTAAAGTTGTTTACGTTTATCTTTTTCTCTTTTATTCGGTATTAATAGTCCTGATTAAGTACCCGTGTTCTGCAAACGAAAATCAATAAAACGGATCATCGAAAATTGCTTCTTTTACAACATTGAATATTTGCAAATAAATTAAATTAAATATTATAAATGCGATTCTACTGGTTTTCCGGCTTTGCCAAATAAGCCACAATATAAGGAATAATGATACTCACTTTTTTTATGGAAGTGAAGATGTCTCCTGCCATCTATTACGTATAATTACACAATTCAAAATATTTTAAATTTATATAAATACTACTTTCATATGAATAAATAAAAGTTATAAATTATTTTTTTTTTCGAAATATAGATTTTTAAACATTATAAAATATGTAAGTGCGATATCTACAGTCTGCAAAACTATTATATTCGTGCTAATCCTACTAGTTCTTCCGAGAGCAATCAACCACAAGCAGATAAGGAAAAAGCAATAATTGACCATCTTGTGCTCGTTTCGCGTTGGCGCGTTGGTTGGTGCATCGTGTACCCCATATGCCCATAAATTAACAAAATTAATAACGTATCTAATGATGGATTTGGCCCTGATCACAGAAATACTTTCCGAGGTATGGCTCGAACTTGCGACAGACCGCACCACTTGCTATGCCTCTATACTTCAGAGCCACACCAATAATGAAGTATTATTGAGAAAAAACGATCTAAAATAGCATTATAGAAAAAAGTGGCAATTACAATGCTGTTAGAATACGATAGAATGCGAAGCAGATGCGCATGAAAATTCTTGTTGTTTTAGCTAGCTGTGCCATCCAATTGCGCAGTTACATATAACATTGGGTTTCTCTTTACCGATCGTACTGAAATTTTCTACAGTATATCTTATTGTACCTTAGAATATTTGTGTATTCTGAAAAAGTCAATTGCATTTAAATTGTGGCTTAAATTGTTTTGATTTATAGCTGTGGGGTGGTAGCGGAGAGGTGGCGATAGGTACAAATTAAAGATATTTGATACATATAATATTCTAGTAACAATATATCATTTTTATCGATTGATTGGAAATGGAATAAGTATCGATTATCGGAAACAAACTCGATCTGCGCAGGCACTAGGAGGACCTTCATCTAAAATTTCAGGTCTCTAGCTCCTATAGATCATGAGATCCTTGTTACGGAACTGCTTGTTTCTCAGTGGGCCGCGCCGGCTGGCTCATCGGATTCTCTGGGTGTGGTCCCATCCCTGGCCCGCAGTCCGCACAATCGATAACAACAAAGCTACACGTCTGTAGCAAAACAGACTCACACAACACTACTCAAAATGAACCGCATAATCGATAACAAATATTCGGAACTACTAACTCATGAACAAAATACACAGCTGTAACAACTATGAAAATGTAAACAACAAAGGTAAGACACTCAATATAAATTAACAAAAAAACACTATTTATCCACCTTACTCTTCCAGATCGGGCCCCGGTTCCGGACCCAGCGTACCCGCCCTACCATGAGACGATCACCTCCACTCGTCTCCCTCATTTTGGCCACCAAATGGCCTATATTAGCCCGTGTCGGCCACAATGCCCACTCTCCCCAGCAATATCATTTTAGCCGGACATGATTTCTTTCAATAGGTGCGTATAATTGGTTGCGTTTTCTTAAAATGTATAACAATCATAATCATTGCTTATGGCATTTATCTTGCAGCTGTTTAGGATCTCAGGCAAGCGGATAATTCATTAACTTCACAGGTGCGTATTACTGCTGCATATATTTATACTAATTGACACAGCGCATTAATTCCTAAATTTTTCTCTTATCTTATAGAATTAATTTTTTTTATTTTTTTACAACACTGAATGGAACAGGCGACGAAACACTACAAGGATATTGCTAGTCGCCGCAAGAGAAACGCGCAATGAGGCACTTTAGAGGCAATCGTTGCCCCGATTTAGGAACAATGGCCCGCACAATTACTTAAAACTGGGTATGTCACGTGTTGTGTATCGTATGTATTAAATCGCTTAATTCTACCTTACCCTACCTAAAGAGCTCTCTGGGGTGGTAAGGGGCGATATAAATGCGTAAATTCAAATTAGGTAAGTATGTGAGCATAGTTCGCGCAAGAGTTAATTTTAGATTTTTTTTTTTTTTTTTTATATTTTACAGGCGCAGATGCATCACCGTTGGAGTTTTCCTCACCGTTCGCACTCTAAAGTGAAGCTCGGCGTAAGTGCCTATGTATGTATGAATATATTTTATAAATACAAATTAACCAAATTTAACGATAAAAAAAAATCTACTCCTTTTCAGGGAGTGCAATTAGGAGTCTTCTTCTGACTCTGCCAGGGGCTCGAACGAGGATGGGCAAAACAATGGAACGGACTCACTCGGTGGATGTGGGCGGGGTCTCGCCTGTGGCCGCTTCTTCGTTGTTGGAGCCCGGTCGTTGGTGGCTCGTCTCGTCGCCTTCACGTTTGCGCCGACGCTTGCTGGCGGCGTCGCGGATATGGCTGGTTTGCGCCGCTGCACTGAATCCTGGCCTTGAATATTTCGTGGGCCTCTCTGGTGCGCGAGCTGGTCTCCTTGGTGCCGGAGCCGTTAATTTTTGGCTTATTTGGTTCGTCTCTCGTCGCACTTAAATTTTTAAGTCTCTTTTAATTTTTTTATTATATTTTCTTTGTGATTCGAGCGGTTTGATTTATATAAATTTATTACATGGCAAAGAACACAAAAACAAAACTTTTATTCGTCTGTTAAGCCATTGGTATTATGTGCCGGCTTAATTTTTCAGAAGGGAAAAAATTTTACTCTGTCAAGCAGAAATGCAATGTCCAACTTTTTTTGCTCACTTCGAGCTGGCACGCCCGCCGTTAACCGCTGAACAAATCGAACTCCTCGACATTTTTGGCAGCCACACCATCGGTACCGAATTTCGGCACACGCATACATTTGCGAGGCGGGCACCGTTGCTGCTCATCTGCACAGCTGCATTTTTTTGGGTCAACGGCCCAAATGAAGGCCAAGGGCATATCCAAGGGCATGCGATCCACTCTCCTCGTATTCCCTTTAAGAGCGAAACGGGCGGCCAATAGCAATCGTCGCTTTTGGCGCCGTGGATCGCATGTCTGGCGTTGCCACCCTTCAAAATTTTGGGCTCCGCCGTGGGCCCAGCTTCACCCCGCATACTCCGACCATATGCCAAAAAGATATCGGCGTGGCCGATAATATCGCACGCAACCAACTGAGTAACCCTCGGTGCTGCCGATAACGTCAAATGCAACATCCTTGATACATACAGACGGACGGACAGACAGACGGACATGACTAGATCGACTCGGGTATTGATGCTGATCAAGAATATATAAACTTTATGGACGCTTCCTTCTGCTTGTTTCATGCATTTATACTCTGCACAAACACAATATACTCTTTTTACCGACTTTCGATGGGTTCAGGATATAAAACATTTTTATTGTATGCTTTCAATATATTTAGGTTGCACATAGGCAGACCGTCTTCAGGGCACTAGCTAATTACCATTAAAATTGATTAAATTAATCAAATTGGCACATTTAACATACAAGTTAGTAAGTAAGCCCCGCACTTAGTTACTAAATAGCCTGCGTAAGCGCTGACACACTAATATTGGAGTTCAGCGATATATCTGCAACAGTCAGCGGCGGTAACCGGATACTTTTGTTATTGTCGCAAGAGTTTCCGTTATCGCCTACAATTATGCTGAGTCGGCTTGCCGACCATAACGTTGTAGCGTGTTGTCTTTAGCTTAAGCTGCACCAATTTGTATTTTCTGAGTTTATTTTTGTATTTGATGTTTAAGAATAAACTTGCACTACTCCGGCATGCTGCCGTAAATATCATTTTTTATATATTACAATTACATTGCCGAGCCAAAAGGCCAGTAATTAGCAAAGAGAGTGAATTCAAACTCTCCACCATAATCGTCCTTAATACCGTATCACTAAACTAGGCATCGCTGGACGAAAAACGGATCAGCTATCGCATCGCTGGACCAGCAGATCGATATAATTTAAATACATTATTTTACACGTCTGCGCTTTTTAAGGTGCAGATTCAAACTGAGACTGTTTGGCTGTACAATAGGTGTCTGTACAAAAGAGCGCAATTTTCTTTGTAGTTTGGTCGTTTGCTCGTTGGTGTATAAATTATGTGCATCATTTCCAATGTATGTTGTTTGTTGTAGTGTTGTTCCATCTGCTTATTATTGTTTCATCAAAGTTTGGTGTGAGGTTGCTTTTCATACAGTGGGTCATTAAGCATGTTCTTTGTATTATATTTTAATATGAAGTCTGATTTGTGATGGGAATGTCCGTGCTTTTAATTTAGGTTTTTCTGTGCCGATGCACACGTTATTGGATTTATTTTTGTTGTCTCTGCAACATTGCATTTTGTAAATAACATTACTTTTATCTATAATTGGAACTCTTGCTTTTATGTTTTTGAAAATTTATTGTAAAGTATTCATAGGATTGTGTGCTACTTTTGTATCTTGTTTGTTGTAGCAGAAGGCATGTTACTGTTATGATTTTTAAATAAAAATATACAACCACACACCAAATTTTGATTCAATAACAATCTTTCAACAAGAACAACACTACAATAAACGATACACATTAGAAATGCTGCATGTTATTAACACACCAATGATCAACCACAAAACTACAAGACAGACACAGACACACTTGTACATATAGAACAGCCAAACAGTCTCAGTTTGAATCTCCACGTCAATAAGCGCAGACGTGTAAAATAATGTAACTTAAATGTGTCAATTTAATGCTTAATTTAATATATTTTAATGTTAATTATTATTTGTACCTTGTGATAGTGCGGTAAAGTCGGTTTGCCGATTTGCAACCGAAATATATTGGGAGCAAAATACAATCAAATTGTTTTCATTGTTTTATTTAAAAGAACCCGGACCTCGAGCCAGCCAACTATATAATTAATAACGTATCAATATTTATTTCAAAAGTTGACGTGTCGGTTTGTGAGTCGAGGGGCAACGCCAGTACTGTTATTAAGGGGGGTATACTCGTTATTAAGGGGGGTATACTCGTGCCATCACGATTAATTTTACAATAAACACAACAAATCTGCATATCACGAAACAGCTAACTCCAAAACGTTGACAAAGGCCAGCGGCAAGCTACGCAGAAAAGAGGTAACGGATATCAATCGGTGGCTTCGCTGTTGTTGCCATGACGCTCTCGCCTATCCTATAGTGCTAATTTGTATATATATGAGACCACCATTTTATTAAGATATAAGACGACGGCACTTATCTGAACGACGTAAACATTCCCCTTCATTAATAAACTTAACTGGATATGAATCTTTTTATCAGTTGGTGATTGCCCAAAAAACAGGATATCGATATCGATGCTATGATTTTGCGAAAAATGTAAAAACACGTCTTAAATGATTTTTTATATAAATCCTTGAAAATGAATTTGAACGTCATCCACCAAATCTTTGACCCCATATTCCACCAAGGAGGAATACATTTTTGGAAAGGTGCGAAGCACCTGTCAAATGAATTTGAACAAAGAACTATGAAACTGAGGTTGAGGCCGTTCAGGTTTTTTGTGATTTTTCCAAACTTGTAGGTTGAATTTCCCTTCATCACATAAGGTAACTACAGTGAAAATTATTGCTTCCTAGCTCTTACGATTTGGACTGTGCGTTGATCACCAATCAGTCAGTCAATAAATCACCCAGTCAGTCAATCAGGACAAACAGTTTTATATATAGAGATGTGCTCAAAAACGAAGAATCGATACTGATTTTAAAGATAACACAGATAAATTAAGCTTTATTTTTTAGACACCACTTCTATTTCGACTAATAAATATAAAATTTGACCACATAAAATTTTAAGTCAGGATTTTAAAGCTGTTGTCTTGTTGCGAATTATAGAATATTCTATGACAAAATAGGATCTACACCAAGATCGGTTTAGAAACTCAGGAGTTTTTTGAATATAGTCAGTTAGCGCCAAGCGCAATAATTTCTGTATGCCTAATAGAAATTGCAATTGTATTGCATGCTGATTTAATTTTAATTCTGATTTTTTCCCATAAAGATCAATATATGAACATGAAGTTAAGCTATGAGAATATTTATTTATTTTTTTAATTTCTTTCAAAGTGAACAATATTGCTAAAGCTTTAGCAAGCAAGGAAGTAGCTAAAAAGATTTCAATATTTACTAGTAAAGCATTCCCGGCTATAGCACTTACTCATTAGCAATCCCTGTTTGAGCATATCGTTTAGGACCGCGACATTGGCATTCCACTCTTAATAAAAACTCAGTCAACCCGCGGTCCCCCCTTTCGCATTCATAGCTATGATGTTCACTGCGCCAAGTACCCAGGAGACCGCCTCCGTGGTATTGCTACACTCATTATCCGGTGCTTAATTTTCAACTTTCTGCTATTGTAGTGATCTACTGCGTCCGTCGCCACTGACATTTTGTAGCCTTTGCTGCTGTCCACCCAGTCATCATCCCTGCTGGACACCTGGGGAATAATGTAAGATCTTTGACCCTGTCAGCTCCTATTTCCTCTTGGATTGAGTAAACAAGTCTGTTAAGTACTTGTTAGAAACTGAAGGGTGTCTTATTTTATGTCTGCTGTCGATGCGTTATCCGCAGCAGCGGTCATAAAATATTTTTTTTTAATTAGGATTTTTATGACTATTGCTATATGACATTTTTTAGTGTAGTTCGCTTTACAATCTTGATCGGCCAGATGGGCGTTATATATTTTGTTGCAGCTACCTGCAGTTTGATACAATATGGTGTGATATAATTTTACCGAGGGTGTAAGTAAGACTCAGTGTAATGTGTTCATGTGTGAGCAAATTGGTCCAGTATTTTACAATGACTGCTTAGCGGATCATCCCATATTAGACACTCTCGTTACACTGACCGCACTATAGATAGATAGTATTGCATTTCTGCCATCAACGCGTTAACTAGCATTTTTACTGCGCTGGGGGTCACGATGGATTATCCCCCTTAAGATGAAGAATATATATACTTTATGGGGTCGCAGATGCTTCCTTCTGCCTTCTGTTACGTACATTTGGATTTTACACAAATACAATATACCCTTATACAAATTTTTAATCGGTTCAGGGAATAAAAAATTTTAAGAAACAGGCACTAACTTATAAGATAGTGCTATATTACCGGTTTTATCACATAAATAACACCGAATGATCTGAGATCTTCATCATTTTTATGTACTTTAATTTTTAAAATTATGGCTCGTCCTGGCCATCACTCATAACTTTTATTTGGCGTGTCCCGATTCAATGTACT